GTGTGGGTGTGGGGGGGGGCTTTTAGGCTTCAGTTATATAACTTTTAGGGTAGAGATTAAATGGATGTAAGCAAACAAGACTAGGACATCCTGTGAAGGTTTTGTTTGGAGTATGTGTCATAAAAGTACTTTTTTCTGTCAGATCGTATTTCTGTTCTGCAGTATTTTTTACTGTAGAGTATTCACAGGTCAGATGGCCACTTTCGTTCCTCTAATTCAACTGTTCTTTATTCAGTAATCAAGATAGCATATTTACTGTACCACACTCGTAATTAGTTACTTTACTTTTACTTCGGAAAGTAGATTTACGACTCCATTGAGTAATAGGAAGTTTCGTTACAGTGGTAACGCTGTGTAACGCAATACACTGCAGACGCTTTCAAAGTGATGTTAACCATCTGAGAAAGGTGTCTCTGTCATGGAGATGCTTATTAGGAGAAAGTCGAGGGTACAAACTGCGCAATGAGTGTGTAAGTCACTAATGTGTAAATAACATTGATTCTCTATTTGCAATGGTAGGTCTGAGAGTGTCTGTGTTATTGTCAGCCTTTCTCTCAGTGCTTGGGAAGGCCCTTCATGTTCTACCATTTGGTGTCAAGGAAACAAGGACAATTTTCATCAACATAGGTCAGTTCCTTATCATGGCTGGAGGGCCGGTATCCATTGGTGGGCCACCCCTGGTGTCTGCAACCTGGTTTCCTCCCCACGAACGCACCACAGCTACTGCGATTGCTACGTTAGCTGGGTATTTTGGTATTGCCCAGTCTTTTGCCATTGGGCCTGCCATGGTGCCAAATCGGTGTGTGCCAAGCAATACAAGTAATTCATCATCTTCTGATAGCCTTGAAAGACTGGAAAAATTGGCAGATCACCAGTTAACAAAGTACATGTATTTTGAATTGGGGTTATGTGCATTTGTGTTCTTCTGCATCCTTCTCTATTTTCCAGCACGACCGCCACTCCCCCCAAGTCTCACATCTTCCAAATCTCAAGGAGTTAGCACTAAAACTTCATTTCTACAGCTCGCAAGAAATCGGCCTTTCTGGCTGTTAGCAACACTGACAGGATTAACATTTGGAATCTAGTTTGGATGGTTGTCGATGCTGGATGTATTCCTTGCAAAGTTTCATGTAGACTACATTACTGCAGGATGGCTGGGATGTTCTGCTACACTGGCTGGGGTGGTTTCAGGGATTGCAGTAGCCAGGTAGTTAATTATTTACCATGCTCCAAGTATGTTGTTTTAAAGCTCACTTAGACTGAGTGGGTAAGTGGCATCTTGGTGGCATTATTTTGACCCCCTGTGGCTATTTTTCTTGGTTTCATTAGAGGTGCAGCTGGGGAGTAAGAAGGGGGGGGAAGCATAACCCTTTCAACTGAAACTTGGAGGATTCACAGCTCCTCCCACTTGTTGGTGCAGAAAATATTGCTAGCATGGAACTGGTTTGGCAAAGAAGTCAATGTTATGATCTTTTCAGAAACTGTTTCATCAGGATCAGGCTGGCTCAGCACATATTCATTACCAACATCTCTAGTAACATAATATTTCCAAGAAATATAAGTCCTTTTCTGTCATAATTTCCACTGAATTGCTTTCAATCAATGTTTATACTCTCATTCAGCTATCACCTTAAATGACTGTGGACATTTCCTCTCCACTTGCTGGTGGACCTCATGAAAATGTTATATTTTTTTAGCAACAAAATTGAAATGTCCAGTTTTAAAATTCCCGTTACCATTATGACTGTGAAAGCAAAATTCTGTGAGCCAGCCTGTAGTATGCAACTCACAGATACTTGATTTAATCTATTTTGCAGGTTTACAGATTACATAAGACACAGAACTAAACAAATACTGGCCATGCTCTTGATTTTATCAACATTATCCCAGTTGATCTTCAGTTTGTCATGCGCTAGAATCTTGCCATCCACAAAACCAGTACTGTACAGCTCAATTGTATTTGGTGGGTTTGTGTACAATGGCACGTTACCTTTGTTTTTTGAGCTTGCAATGGAATGCATTTATCCTGTTGGAGAAGGCATTGCTGGAGGAATTTTGATCACTGCTGGAAATGTAGTTTTATTGTTATTCTATGTAGCTTTTATGATCCCTAAGTTTGATGTACGTTGGATGAATTGGGTAACAGTCTCTGGTCTAGGAGTTTGCTTTTTGGGGTTGTTCATGTATAGAGAAAAGTATATTCGTCTTGATTTAGATGTCAACCAAGATAGGGAACCAGTGAATAGAAATCTATCAGAAAGCTTAGGATAAATAGAATTCAAAATTCCTATTGTAAATATCCTTTTTTAAATGATACAATTACAGCACAACCAATTATGCAAGGTAAATTGTATCTATTTTTTTTCCAAAAAAAAAGCATGATATTTGTCCTAGTTTTAACTCTTAATTTAGACTGCAACAGCCAAGATTAATTGACACCTATCTGAACGTATGGAATGAAAAATGAAACAATTTTTAATTTCTAGGTATACACCATTTAACAAAATTAGAGATTAGAAAAAAACAAATTCACTTAAAGATACTAAATAAATATACTGGTAAGTCAATGGTTAGACTGAATTACAGTCATAGCATACTAATTTTATTGAGATTTTATCAAGTGATACTGAACAAGAAATTATCATTCCAATGTCCACAAATAATTTAATCATCAAATCTGGTTTGGCTCTTTGAAGTCACAACCAAAACCAATTTCCTTAAAACCACAATTTATGCAAAAGCATGCAAAATGCTTCAGAGGAATAGGTTCTCTTTGTATGTGATGGAAGCTCCAGAAAGATGTTTATAATTAATTTTTCACAATTTTCTATGAAATTCCTCTATTGCTAGCTGGTCCAGTTTTGACCATATTTCATACTAAAGTGGTGCTCCCGCCTTATAACTCTCTCAATACTCCAAAGCTACCATTTCTCTTCCATTCTAAAAAGTTATTTCAACTACACCAATCCAATTACTTCTTGAACTGACTCAGAGCCTTCATTTTGCAAGAGTTATAGAAGCAAACACAACAGTCTATTTTGCCAGCTAACTCTTCTTTCTCCTGTTGAGCTTGCATAGTATTTACAAGGCTTCATTTTCTATATTTCTGTCCCATAACACGGATCGTAAGTTATCAGTGTGGTAGTGGAAGTTTCTGAGGCTGAGATGGATCGCTGACGTACAATATGGACCGGTGTTTCAGTATTAGCTTCTGAGTATGAGACAGTTCTTTTCCGAGGTGTTCCTCGAACTGATGTTTCTAGGATGTCTTCCTCCTCGTAAAGTACCCGTACAGCATCACCACTGATGTTAAGCAAGCATTGTCCCTAAAAATCAATCACAACTAAGTTAACCCTTTACACACTCTAACATCACAATGCATATTCTCAATACTGATCTCTATGCATTTCCTAAGGTGGTTATAAGAATTTCTTTAACAGTCAAGAGCTTCTTTAGATGGAGATCATTTCCTTTATTCCTGTGAGCTTAATTTGATCTTTTCTGAGGTGATGTTGTAAGAGGATATTTGATACATGTCTCTTTTTAGGGGTCAAAGGGCTAAGATCAGGTCAAAAATTAAAGAAAGAGATATTGTCATCAACTTAGCTTGTCTGCTGCATCATCACTCCCTTCCTTTCACTCTCAGAATGTTGGTTTCACTGTGATTACAGTTCCCACACTACAACTGTGTCATACCTTTAGAATTATAATTGGGTTATAAATTTATTCAAGTACCTGATGTTTATGAGGATTATCCAATAAAACAATCTCATTTAATTGGTAGGAAACCAAAGCATTTCCTCCAATAGCCAGGACATGTGCTCTTAGCATTGCTTGAGCCTCGGCAACAAATGCTTGCATGAATACATTTAAACCACCATTCTGGAAACAAAAATATGGTGTTCAGGACTTACAGTTAATTAAAAGATTGTTACAGACAATTTGACTATTTAACTATAAGTGAAAAGCTGATAAATACACTGCATCATTTCAAAATAACTCTTTTGCTAGTTCTACACAAAAGAGAAGACTATGGTGAGGCATGTATAGTATTTTTTGACTTCTAGATTAAATTTCAATTTGATGAAACTTAATTTTGATATTTATACCCCTCACTATATTTTAATCTAACTGTAAAAGTTAAAAAATTAAAAATAGTAACCAAGCTTTGTCTTTACCTCGCGCACTGTATGACTTTCCCGTATTAAAAACAAGTTGATGTTGCCAAGGAAACATTCAATTTGTGTATTTGGTAAGTAGGACATTGATGTCACCTCCACAGCAGGACGATATGGGGCCTGCTGGAAAATATCATCAGAATTGTTTGTGGTTATGTAGTAAATTCCATTTCATTAAAAAAAAGACACTTGAACATAAGAAAATCTAAACAGAAAAGTATACAATGTTATTTTCATGGTGGATAACAGCCCTTTACAAAGAAAATAGTCATGTCAGATAAGGATAATAATAATACATGGGTATGTGTGTATATAGATGTGGAATTTCTTTTCAAGTGGAATACAAGAAAAGAAGTTTCATATCCACAAGCCACTGTGTCTTATTTTCAATTGTTTATCATATAAACAAAAAAAGAAAAGAATGGTGAATCAACCTGACAGAGTGGTGCGAAAGGCAAGAAACATGTGAACAGCTGATTGGTGATATCAAACACAAATGAAATCATCTCAATTATACACATGTGCAGATTCTGCTTTACTCAGGGTTGGTAACTGTTTTAAACATCACAGCCTATATGAATTACCTGGCTTACCTTTATTTTTACACATAGAGGATGATCAAGGTGTCTTTTGGAATTGGAATCTGTGATGCAAATTATTTTAGTCAGCTGAATGACTTGCCAAATCTTGACCCTTAAATTCCCAAGATCTGATTGTTAATTCTCCCCTAGTTATGAAAATTTGGTTTTAGGTCAACATAACAACTTGTACCTTTCAACTCTGAGTATTCTCATTAACTTTTTTCTGTGCAATGTATGGATATGATAGGGAGAAGTTACAGGTTAATCACTTCTAGCAATCAACTTCCTGTTAAATTATCAAAATAATCTTTAAAGTTAAAATTTGTTGTCACAGATGGACAAGAAAATTTGGCTAGGTACTTTCAGTGACTCACTTTACAGCACCTGATTCTGATTTTAGTTTTTCTACAGCAGAGTTGTCGACCACTTCCTCAATGGGAAAGAGTAAATCATCTGATTCCATCATATTTTCAGAGTGCAAGGGGCGGGAATGAGCTGAAATGGAATCACACAGCAATCAGTGGATGAACTACTTGTAAAGGATGACTGGAAAACAAAAACTGTGGTGCACAAGACTGAAGGACTTTAAGAACTATATAGAATTCCTACCTGGAAACATAGGGGTAAGTTTCTAGACAAACTTTGGTGCTGTATCGGTTAAAGATATTCCAAGATGACTTGGTTTTAACTGAGTTGATAACCTAAATTGACCTCCACCAAGAATTTCTAAATCTGAGGTTCAGACTATTCGTTGCCAAGCCTTTGATTTGGAGTGAGGCTGAAGGTGACTGTGTTGTGATAGAGACCAGTACCTGGTTGTCACGATACCAAAGTAAAGTAAATTTGCAAAGCAGCAACGTTTGTATCATAACAAGGACACAGGTAGCCTCGCTCCTGGTCAAAGGCTGGGCAACCATGCAAGCACTCAACTGTAAAATGGACTCTTTACATCTTCAACTCTGTTGATAAAACCAAAATATCTTGCATGTGACTTACATCTGTCACTTATGTTTCTTTTTAACTTCAAGAAATGTCCTTCATCACCATCTCTTTCCTCTATAGAAACAGCCACTCCTGTTACAGCCACCTGAATGATAAGTGACCATATGGCTTATAATTATGAGCCAAAGAGATTCCTATGCATGTGTATTTCTACCAAAAAATGGATCGAGAATGAAAAGTTTAATGCATTGCTGAAAGTAAAGTTACCTGAATATTGTCATCTTCTGGTATTTCAATATCAAATTGTACATTTGAGAGACAGCAAGGAGATCTACTGCGAAGCTTGAACCAGAAACTCTAAAAAGTAAAAATGGTATTAGCTATGAGAGATGTTCAGACATTCCACAAGGAATTAGCAAATAGTTAGCAAAAGATTATACAAATACATGCATAGAGAGCAAGTACCTACCTTTATTGTGTCTTCAAACAATTTGGCAAACTGCTGATTTGTTCTTATGTCCTCATCACTCAGTGCTTTTCTCTGAACTGCTGTTATCATCTTTTAACAATAATTCCAGAAGTAAAATCAAATATTAGACAGTGTACAGACATAGTACATAATTGCATATTGACACAAAATGTGTGCTTTTTAAAGATATGTTAAACAGTTTTAAATTAGCAAAAAATGCAAAGTTGAATAACGTGGATCATGTTACACAGACCTGTAATTGGTATAAAAACAAACAAAAAAAGAGGCAACATGCATGCGGCTACAAAGAAAGCTGTGAATTAATCCTTTGTACCCTAACACCAGGATGTATATTCTCCATTCTGTTCTAACATGGAGAATTCGTTCATCAATCAAGAGCTTCTTAAGTTGGTGATCATTTCCTTTATTCTTGTGACCTTAATACTTGATTCAGGGGTGATATTGTAAGGAGAAATTAGATGCTAGTCACTCTAAAGCGTCGTAAGGCTAACATAACATTAATCTTAAAGGACCAAAGAAAAACAGAAAAAAAATGTAAGTTGTGCTTTTACCTTAACTCCTGATTTAAGATGAACTGCACCAGGAAGTGTTTCTGTATTGCAGGAATAAAAACCTGGGGGGAGGGGGGGGGGGAAGGAGTTAAAAACAAAAGAAACACTGACAATCAGAAGTGCCAGTTCCTTGTTACACCAAAACTTGAGGCCAAGTTTCAATAATGTTTTCCATAGGCAGCTGCAGATGGTCGGTGTCCATGCCATCTAGATCTGTCAACTTGAAGACCAGTGCTATAGATGCATGGTTAGTCTCCATGCAGTATGCAGTATCTAACCAGTTTGCTGGTGCCTCCTGATGCTCCCACATGCACAGTGACACTGAGGTTTAAGAGCTATGCCCAGAAACACAAAAATTGACTATCCACAACTCAGTTCCCCACCTCTTGATCTTACATGCTAGCCATTTGAGAGCAGCTACTTATGATTAGTTCATGATGCATGTTTATGTGTCCCGGCCAGAGGATCATTACTAGGACCAAGAAAGCTGTGCATGACTCAAACTGCTTACATAATTGTTGATTTCATCCCTGTCTACGTGTCTATGCATTACACTCACCATCAGGAGCTGGCTCATCCAGTAAGACAGCCACCACATCCTCATCCTTTTTATCATCAATCTAACAAGCATATGACTGTTTTAGTCTGAAAGTGTGCAGGCATGCCTCCAAAATTACAGATTAGTGAGAAAAACATCAAACATTGAATTATTGAGGGGGTTGGTGGGTTTTACTGCTTGCACAAGAAAGGAAAAAGAGGCAAACTTTTAAAAATCAATTAAAAGAAAATTGTGGTGTATTAATGATATTCCACACAAATGTTTATCTCTGCTTAACTCTAGGTCCCACGTACTAAGTTATAATAACGCCAGAGCTTGTCACATAGTCTTGGAACACAGGTAGCCAAATAAATGACAGACAGAAACCCTTTAACTCCCAAGATCTGATTGTTAATTCTCCCCTCTTGTCGCTACACATTTTCTTGTAAATCAGTTATGGGAATTTGGTGTTAGATCAAGATAACAACTTCCTGGTAAGTTTGAGCATTCTCAATACCTGTTTGCTGAATAGTGTATGGATATTACAAGGAGGAGTTACATGTTAATCTTTTCTGGGAGTTACAGGGTTAAGCTGTGAATTCAAATGACAAGATTTTTGCCTGCTTATAATCAATGCAGTAAAATCTGTTGCTGAGTGGAGCACTGTGAACAGAAATAAATAGAGCCCGATGAACTTGTGACTTAGAGCCCTATCAGCCAGCTTACCTCTACAACATATGCATCCTTGGACCCTGTGCACAAATCTAACTCTGCCTTAGGACCCTCATCCAGGTCTGTATCAACCATGAGCACAGACTGAGCATTTTGTGATGGACTGGGAGGTGGTGTTGCTTTGGGAGTGTGCTGCAAGTAGAATTCTCATCGCATTCAACCATGGTTGGATTAAGTTTTCAATTGATGTTGAGAATTAAGGATGCTGACAGAGGCTGCTGTTTTGTGTTATTTACACAACCAACATAAGCTTGGTTACTGAAAAGATCTTTTTTGCAATTTAAAATATTATTACTCTAAAAGATAAGAAGTTGTGGGCCAAAATCACTGACAGCGATTTTACAACAGCTTTAGATGACCTTTTGCCACCAGAGCGACCAATAGTTATGCTACGTAAGAGGTGCCATAATTATATTCTCCCGCTTGTCAGAACTGAACGTTTCAAGAGGACTTTTGTTAATAGATGTTTGTTCTCTTATTAGTCAGTCAGTTAGTAATTTAGTTAGTTTATTAGTTTTATACTTGCTGAGTTCATATCATTGTAATTAAACATGTTTGTTGTTTAGAGTGCTTAATAAAGACTTTTATTATTATAATAATTATTTTTTAACTGTCCATTGAAAAAACTGATGCATGAGTTGTTGTGCAGCTATGAAACTCTTATCTTTAGGTGTGATGCAAACACAACAATGCCACAAAGTATAAACTGCATGCACAGCTCACTCGAGTGACTTATGGAAAGTACAGGGTGACTTGTAATTAGCTTGCACAAACTTAACAGAACAAGTTAAGGGTTAGAAATCAATATGCCTAACTGGTTCCAATTAAACTGTCCTTAATTATTCTTCAGCCAGCAAACCACTAAATAACCACATAACATTGACTCTTTATACACAGCATTCTCATGTGTAAGAATTAATTTGTTAATTCTTAATTAAAAGGTTTGAATCATTTTCCAAAAATGATTCAGACCTTTAGAGATTTATCAACTTGATAGGTCCAATCAAACAAAATGACTAAACTCAAAAGTTTAGCAGACTACAAGAAAAGCTCAGCAAAACTTAAACATCAAAACCTGCAAACTCCCAGCACAACTTATTAGGGACCTTAAGAAACCACAACGGCGACGGCAACGAGGACATGGAAAAACAAGAGATCTTATTGGCAGAACAATAGCTCAGCATGTGCGTTTTGAAACTTTGTACATTTCTTAGCCGTCCTGTGCAAAACAACAATGTGAAATCGCCAAAATTTGCATTGTCTGCGAACCGAAACCGCGACGGCAAATTATTTTAATTTCCATTTGGAACTCAACGGCTACTTTATACGTGTTGCTGAGGTTGAGCTGTGGCGCTGTATGAGACAGTAAGCTCCTGCAGCCATTTTTGAAATTCTAATGAAGAGTAGAAAGTCTTCCTTGGCGTCGCCGTCGTGGTTTCTTAAAGTCCCTAATATTTGGATGAGGGTGTTTTGGTACATTTGGTGTGAAGGATTGTAGCTAGGGGGGCACAAAACACCCATGACTCGTGACCAAACCTTAAAGGAGCTAATTGAAAATTAATTCTCAACTCTAGCTGCTACACATTTCCTTGTGAGTTAGTAACAAGAATTTGGTGATAGATCAAGATAACAACTTCTACCTGACAAGTTTGATTATTCTCACTTCCTGTTTGTTGGATAATGTATGGATATTATAGGGAGAGGTTACATGTTAATCCCTTCTGGGAGTTAAAGAGCTGACCATCCTTACTAAATGCACAGTATCTGTAAGTTTGAAACTGGCCCTGTTCTTGTTCGTTGTTTCCACAATTTGTTTCTGGATCTCAGCAATTCTTTTATCTTCTTCAGCAGATAGACACTGTTGGAGATGATGAAAAAAGATAGAGCTAAAATTAGCTTTTTTCTCTGTATGATGTATCAATGAAAAATATGCATGCTAAATAGGAATCACCTTGAACACTGGATTAAGTTACCACAACCCTTTGAAGTCCAAAGACCCTATTAGTATTTCTCCCTACAGACTGCCGTAGAGTTCCATGTAAATTAGGCAGAGGGAATTTGGTGTTACAAACATAATACCCTCTTAATTACTGATAAGCTTGTATATTCTCCTCCCCTGTTTAAAGATAACATATTGGAATGGCAAAGAGAAATTACAAGTTAATCTCTTCTTAGGGTTGTCACTATAAGACAAAGACCCATGCATTAGTTATCAAAGCGGCCGATAAGGGCGGCTCAGTCGTTGTTTGGTGTACCGACCTCTACCAAAAAGAAGCTTTGCAGCAACTTTCTGACACCTTTTTATCAAAAGGTCGACAAAGACCTCACTGCCAGCAATCAAAACTCCGTCAAGAATACGATCAACCAACTCATAACTAAACAAGAATTGCCGGCCACAGCAAAAAATCTCATCATAACCACTCCTAGAACTTCTCGTATTTACTTTTTACCTAAAATTCACAAACCTAACAACCCGGGTCGGCCCATTGTCTCGGCTTGCAGTTGCCCTACCGAACTTATCTCCAGCTATCTAGACAAAATTATGGCTCCCATCGTCAAAACTTTACCATCATATATTAAAGACAGCCAACACGCTCTTCAAATTTTTCGAGACTTTAATTTCCTTGGCCAAAACAAACTTCTTTTCACCATGGATATTACGTCTCTTTACACTGTCATTCCTAATGGCGAAGGCCTTCTGGCCCTTAAACATTTTTTTGATCAACGTACTGTTAAGGAACCTAAATCTGAAACACTACTACGCTTAGCCGAACTAGTGCTCACACTCAATTGTTTTTCATTCGGAAACAACTTCTTCAAACAAACCAATGGTGTAGCCATGGGCACCAAAATGGGACCTAGCTATGC